GGGCAATCCTACTTCCGTAGTGATATTGCCTCAGAAATCCAAGGAGGGGTCGCTATGAGTCGGGGCTGACTCAACGGCAAACAACAACAACAACAAATATATATATAACGTGGATAGTCCATAAAGATGCAAGAAATTAATCATGGAAGGAAATTAAGATGTTTACAGGTGTGTTTTATGAATTGATAAAATACATGGACAATGAAATAGGCATCAAAGGTAACGTCTGCTATTCTAATTGTAAACACACACACACACACACACACATGCACACACAATCTCAAAAACATAAATATAACTCCCAAATTTAGTGAACAATGGTCTGCCATTTCACTTATAAAATATATTATCTTTGTTAAAACACTCTTTGAAGTCTCAGCATATTAACCAGAAATTATATCTGCACGATAATTAGAATATCTCTAAGGCAGGATTCCAAAGTAGGCAAAAAGAAGGACAAAAGAATTGCTTTGTGTCCTGGGATAATAACCAAGATTAGCGAGAACTTTAACTAGAGGTTACAATAGGGGATGAAGAGAAGACGGCTACTAGAAAGAAGTAAGGTGGCCTGTGAAGAATATGACTGTTTCTCAATATGACCTTTTGGAGATATTTCAAGTATGGGATATAGGACAGAATAGGGTATTAGCTTTAGACAATGTTTTTTTCTTTTCTTGTTCATGAGCTTAGAGCAGTGTTTATTCTCTCTGATAATGTTTAGAAACTCTCAGTGCTGGCTATTTTATATAGATTCCCTCAGGGGCAGTTGTCCCAGGGAAGAAACCAGGGAGCAGAATTCGATAGGAACTAATCATGTAATCTGGTAGCATAATGCCTAAGGCACTTGACTGCTAACCAGAAGGCTGGCTGTTCAAACCCACCAGCCACTCCTCGGAAGGAAGATGGGGCAATCTACTTCCGTAGTGATACTGCTCAACTCGATGGCACATAACAACAACAACAGCAATCATGTAATCACAACAGGAGCTCTGGTGGCATAGTGGAGAAGGCATTTGGCTGGCTGCTAACCAGAAGATCAAACTCACCAGCTACTCTGCAGAAGGAAGGTGGGGCAATCTACCTTTGTAAAGTAGATTGGACACCTAATGGGACTCGCTATGAGTAAGAATCAACTCAATAGCAATGAATTTGGTTTGAATCATGTAATCAGATACCAACCAAAAGAAATGCTAATTCCAGTCAAAGTGGACCACAATCAGGGTAGTTGGCCCTATATACAATCAGTGAAATCTAAAGGAATTTCCGTGATAAAATTAAGGGGCCTTTTAACAAAACAAAACAAAACAAAAAACCTCACTGCCATCGAGTCAGAGTCAGATCCAACCCATAGCGACCCCTTCTTGGGTTTCCCAGGCAGTATCACTACAGAAGTAGATTGCCCAACCTTCTTTCTGAGGAGTGGCTGGTGGGTTTGAATGCAATAGAGTGGAAGCTATTATCAGTTCATAATCTAGAACTTTATAAAACCTTATTTTACTTTTTCTAATGATTCTCGTTTTTTGTTTGTTTTGTTCTGCTTCTTTGCTTATTTTTCTCCAAAAAGTCTACACTGTTGTTGTTAGCTGCCTTGAAGTCAGCCAGTGACTCAGGAAAACATCATAATCTGTTACAGAGTAGAATTTTTCCACAAGGTTTTGTTGATTATAATAATTATGGAAGCAGATCATCAGGTTTTTTGGTCTATGGAGTCACTGGATGGGTTTGTACTGCCAATTTTTCAGTTGGCAGCCAATTGCAAACCTTCTCTGACACCAAATCTCCTACAGACAATAGTAGAAAAAAGAATTTAATTGAAAATACTTGTGAGGTTTGATTACTAAGCTGAAAAATTGAGAGACTATGTCTTAGTGTTCAAAAAGTTTTTATACTGACATGTTGTTGTTGTTGTTATGTGCTGTGGAGTGGGACCTGACTCATGGCGAACACTCCTTGGGTTTCCGAGGCAGTATCACTATGGAAGTACATTGCCCAACCTTCCTTGTGAGGAGTGGTTGGTGGGTTTGAACCACCAGCCTTCTGGTTAGCAGTCAAATGCCTTAGACATTATGCTACCAGACATGTTTGGGGGACATATATTATGTACCAAACACTTACAGTGAAGGTAGTGTCTTCAATATGATTGCCTTACTTTCTACATAGACTCTCAGAGTACAAGAAGTCTCTCAAGTAAAATCTTGAAATTTGAGTAAAGAAGATATCCTGGTCTTTGGAAATATCGATCATTTTTATTTATATCCTGAGAAATTATAATATTCCAGCAATGTGATAGGATGAGTATGCAATTATGAACAATATAGGATCTTATCTGAAGAATATTGTGCACTAAAGGAAGAGAGGGAACTAAATAAGCAATCTGATACAGTTCTGAGATAAGGATAATACATAGAAGAACTTAAAGAATGGAAAGAAAGCCATATCATCATGTATTTTTCTCTCACTCTTTGTCCATTCTCCATTGGTGACTCCACTTACACATAAGTTAGGCAGTTCAGAAACTTCCCACAGTACATTGATGATCTCTTCATTTTTGTTTTCATGTTTTTTTTTTTTTCCATTTATTCCATTTTTAGAAAGTTTCCATAGCTATTTGTTCCTGTTCAGTAATTTTCCTTCTGCAGTGTCTAAATTGCTGTTAATGTCATCAAGTATATTTTTCATTTCAGAAATTGGATTTTTCATCTCTAATATTGACATGTTTCTTTTAATATCTCTTATGTCTCTACTTAATATGTTCATTTTTTTCTATTGTCTTGAGTATATAGAAAATAGTTATAATAGTTTTATTTTCCACTTTTTCTACTGTGCATGATTTTCCACAGTCTGTTATTGTATTTCTTCTTATCCTAGTTTGTAAATGCTTGTTTCTTTGTGTACCTATTAACATTACATTAGACATTATGAAGTCTTGATGTTGGATATTTTTGTGTTTCTTCAATTATTCTTAAGCTGTATTCTTTAATAGAGTTACATTACTTGGAAATAGTTTTTTTTTTGAGGCTTATTTTTGTCTTTGTTAAGTGGGAACATAACAGCTCATTTTAGTCTAAAGATGATTTTGCTTCACAACTGAGGCAATAAACTTCTATATACTATAACAAATTCCCTGGAATTATGAGTTTCTGCATGCAAGTGTGGAAATAGGAACTATTCCTAGCCTAATTTAATCTTCAGAATTTTTCTGTTAATTTTTGGTGGTTCTTTTCCAGCCTCAGTAGTTTCCTCACATCCATTCAATGAATAATACTCAGTGGAAGACCTGTGTGCTACTCTTTGAAGATCTCCAGATGTCGTTTTCTTCCATATAACTCCTCTCTGGTACTCTGCTATGTGCAATGTAGCTGTCTTGTGCTGGCCAAATTCATAGCTTTGTCTTTTCAACTTTGGAAGATAACCAACCAGGCTGCTCCCATATTTCCACTCACTGTGCTGCAGCAAGAAAACACTAGTCAATAAACTGTTAATTGTTTATTTATCTCACTTGCTTCTCTTCCTCATAGATTACTCTCCTTTGCTACCTGATGTCTAACAACTGTAGATTGTTGTTTCGCATATAATTTTATGTCTTTTTAAATATTTTTTCAGGTGGGAAAAGAAATGTAAATATTGTTACTTCATCTTGACTTGAAGTGGAAGACTTTCAGCCATTATTTATTTAAATATTGCATCTTCTTTCCTTTTCTGTCTTTTATCTGGTGTTCCAACTACACAATTGTTTGGATTATTACTGAATCCTTTATATGTATCGTATTTTTTTTTATATGTAGTCCATCTATTTGTCTCTCTGTACTTTAATCTAGATGCTAAATTTTTATGTATATTTGTTTATTCTTTTTTCAGTTGTGTTCAAATCACTCTTTTATCTAAAAACTTTTTAATTTTTTGTGTATATCTTTAACTTGAATTTTTTTATTAATTTCTGTTTATATTGCCCATGGAAATTCTTCTTCCTGTAATGTAAAGTCATGTGTATATTAAATTTAGTTATTCCAACATGTCTGTCCCTGAAAACTACAGTATCTTCTATTTGTTTCATTTTCATAGCATTTAGTTATGTTGTCATGTCTCCTTCAATGACTTTTAATTTAATTTCTTTTATGTTATTGTGGGTATTACATATGAAATATTTTAGGAATAATTTGAATTACTGGATGAAAAGTTGTTCTTCCCATTAGTACTTTATTTCCTCTGGGAATCAGTTAGTCCATATCACTTTTATCCAATCAGGAAGTGAGCTAATTGGGAAAGATGGTGTAATTTCTATCTATCATAACTACTATAGCCTTTGAATATCCCAATTGAAAGTGCATGGTATTTCCCTGATAATCTCATCTCTGAATTCCATTTAGTTTTTCAACTCAAATCCATGAGAGTCACAAAAGCATATTATCCTTTCAGATGAATAATAACAAATACTTCAAAGGCAGATATGTTCTCAAATATCGATCATACCTCTGTCTGTAGCTTTATTCCAAACTCCTCACTGCCCTGTTATCATTTTGATGCTTTCCAAGAGATTAAGGTTTTTGTTGTTGTTGATTATTTCCTTGTTTATTTTGTTGTTTACTAACTCTTCTAGTTCTCTCTTTGAAGATGAGATAACATGTATTGCAAGACAAATATTCATGGTATTTAAAAGTATTACAGAGAAAATGAAAATGTAATACTAAGTTTTGTTAAAAAGAGAAAAAGTCAATTTTATAAGAAATAGATGTAAAAGACAAAAGCTGATGTCAGTTCTTAGGAAGGAAAATGAATAAAAGCTGAAATCTCTTTTTAGTAGAATCTGTTTAAGAATAAGACTTAGATAGATTACTATATAAGATTATATATATTACTTATTAATGAATAAGAAAAAGGGGTCATTTAGTATGTTATTTCTGGTGAGCTATACAATTTCTCATAACTGAGAAGGGTTCGCATGTTTTATCTGACTCTTTTTTTTTTTTCCATGCAGACTTCCTAAAATATTAGAGGTAGTAATGAGAAATCACACAGCAGTAACAACTTTCATCTTGTTAGGACTTACAGATGACCCACAGCTGCAAATTCTGGTTTTCATCTTTTCATTTTTAACATATATTCTGAGTGTAACTGGAAACCTGACGATTATCACTCTTACCCTCACGGATTCCCACCTTAAAACACCTATGTATTTTTTTCTTCGAAATTTCTCCTTCTTAGAAATCTCATTCACAACGGTGTGTATTCTCAGATTCCTATATAGTATATCAACTGGAGATAACGCGATTACTTACAATGCTTGTGCAAGTCAAATATTTTTCTTTGGACTCTTCGGGGCCACAGAGTGTTTCCTCCTGGCTGCCATGTCTTACGACCGCTATGTGGCCATCTGCAAACCCCTTCATTACACGACCATCATGAATAACAGAGTCTGTGCCATCCTTGTCCTCTGCTGCTGGATCTCCGGGTTGATGATCATCGTCACACCACTTGGTATGGGCTTCCAGCTGGAATTCTGTGACTCCAATGCCATTGATCATTTTGGCTGTGATGCAGCTCCTCTTTTTAAGATCTCATGCTCAGACACATGGTTCATAGAACAAATGGTGATAATTTGTGCAGTGTTGACATTCATTATCACACTGGTAGGTGTGGTTCTTTCCTACATATATATCATCAAGACAATTCTAAAATTCCCTTCCGCTCAGCAAAGAAAAGAAGCTTTTTCCACATGTTCTTCTCACATGATTGTTGTTTCCATCACCTATGGTAGCTGTATATTCATCTATATCAAACCTTCAGCCAAAGAGGAGGTGAACATTAATAAAGGGGTATCTGTGCTCACTACCTCTGTTGCTCCTTTGTTGAATCCCTTCATTTATACCTTGAGAAATAAGCAGGTGAAACAAGCTTTCAATGATATGATTAAAAAAATTGCATTCATCTTGCACAGGTAAGAGTACTGAATTTGAGCAACCAAGTGATAATGTAAGACTAGTTCCTAAATATTTCTTCTGAAGTCCTAACCAGTTGAATAAGTTTAATTTTCTTGTGGCCCTTTGCATGTTAATTCATGAACCATATCTCATCAAGTCATTCCTTTCTTTCTCAACCAAAATTCCTTCCATCTCTAAGAGAAGAAGAGAAAGGACTTCCTGGAAATAAAATCTTCCATCTTATTTCACTTACTTTTTCACTGCTATTCAAAGAGAAATTGTATTACTCTATGAAAATAGTATCTATTATACCTGAGAAATGGGGCAATCTACTTCCGTAGTGATACTGCCTCGGAAACCCAAGGAGGGGTCGCTATGAGTTGGGTCCATCTCGGCGACACATAACAACAACAACAACATTCAAAGAGAAATTATATCACTTTATGAAAATAGTAACTATTAGACCTGAGAAATTCTGGGACAATAATTTTTCTACCATCCTTTACTTTAAGCATAAAAATACCAAAAGAAACATCTTAAATATAATGAAAAACTTGTCTTTGTTTTAAAGTATTAATAAAAATATATTCAAAACAAAGGAACACATAATAGACAAACAAAAGGAACTATGAAATATTATAAACAAAAGGAGAAAATAAATAATAGAAATCTGGAAATAAATATGATGCAAGAAAAATATAAGCAAGCTAGAATATTTAGAAGATTTACTTTCAAAAACAGGAGAAACATTTAGATCATATTTGCTTAACAACAGCACACACACATATACACACACAATGAAACAAGAATAAAAATAACAAGTGGACTTTTATTTTAACTCTGTCAGAGTATTTGGTACCATAAAATTTAAATAACATGTCCCAAATACCCATAAAATTT